TCTCTGGTCCCGTCCCGGGGTCCCATCCCTCCCGTCCTGCTCACCCCTGGCTCCCGTGCCCGCAGGGACGTGGCTGCTGTACCTGCCGTGCTCCTGGAGCATCGCGCTGGCGGCCGGGCTGGCCTGCCTGCCCGACGGGCACATGCTGTCGCTGTTCGGCGTCGGTGCTGTGCTGATGCGCGGGGCTGGCTGCACCATCAACGACATGTGGGACCGCGACTACGACAGAAAGGTGCAGAAACCACCGCGGGTGTGCAGGGACTAGGGCAGAGAAGGGTGGAAATGAACCCAGTGTGTGTCTGCTCATCTCCGGCATCAGCAGTGACTCCTCATTGAGCACAGGCAATAAGGCTCCAGCTTCAGAAAGTTCTCTGTGTTTCTAGCTGAGTGCAATTAATTCATCTTCATTCTTCCTAAAAGAGTAGAAATCATTTTGTTTTACATAACATTTTCATGTCTAGGACTGTAATAAGGTCTGGTGCCTCAATGTAAGAAGGACATGGAAGTGTTGGAGCAAGTCCAGAGGAGGCCACCAAGTTGCTAAGAGGACTGGAGCATTTCCCCTATGAAGACAGGCTGAGGGAGTTGGGGCTGTTGAGCCTGGAGAAGAGAAGGTTATGTGGAGACCTCAGAGCACCTTGCAGGAGCTGAAGGGGCTCCAGGGAAGCTGCAGAGGGATCTGTGTTAGGAGCTGCAGGGACAGGACAAGGGGCAATGGGCACAGATTGAAGGAGGGAAAATTTAGGTTAGATCTTAGGCAGAAGTTTTTGCTGTGAGGGTGGTGAGACCCTGTCCCAGGTTGCCCAGGGAGGCTGTGGCTGCCCCAACCCTGGCAGTGTTCACAGCCAGGTTGGATGAGCCTTGAGCAACCTGCTCTGGTGGCAGGTGTCCCTGCCCAGGGCAGGGGTTGGGGCTGGATGATCTGTAAGCTCCATTCCAACCTCTTAACATTCTATTCATTCTATTGACTCCAGACCAATGGGTCTGGATTCTGAAAATCCCATTAGCGAGAAACAAATGTCAACAGCAGAATTAAGGGCTCTTTCATTTCTCCCCAAGAAATAGAAAACAGCCATTATATATTACTCAAATGCAAATATTTAACATTCTTTTCCCTGCTGCAATTGTAGAAGTTGTTCCATGCAGTAAAAAGGATATTAAGGCAATGCTTAATGACTTCACTCATAATTCTAGGCCAACGTGGTTTAAAATTTAAACCTCCCAGGCTGTTTGAATGTAAATTGTGGTGCTCTAGAGTATGAAATTAAAGTGAAAACACTATAGATTTCAAGTGTTTTTAGACATGTCTATGCACATCATTCCTGGTACATCAACTTTACCTCTCACTCCTTCTCTCTCAGACCATTCAATATGCTTCAAGCAATGCTGTCCGTGTGTTTTACCCATCACTTGTTGAATAACTCTCCAAGTCCTACCATGGCAGGGGAGGAGGAGTTGCCTTTCTGGAATCTGCTTCCTTATCAGTATGGACATGTATCAGTATTCAAAGTATTCCTGTATCAGTATTCAAAATACTCCTGTACCAACTGTATCAGTATTCAAAATACTCCTGTATCAATATTCACAGCCAGGTTGGATGAGCCTTGAGCAACCTGCTCTGGTGGGAGGTGTCCCTGCCCAGGGCCGGGGGCTGGGACTGGGTCATCTCTAAGGTCCATTCCAAGCCCTAAAATCCTATGATTCTATGACATCTAAATGGTCTCAGAGCAAAGTCAGTGCTATGAGGCCTTTTCCAGAGTGCCCTCTGAGCTCAGCAGGCAGAACCTGACTCCAGTTCTGCATGCACAGAAGTACCTGATGATACATCACCATAGCAATGGTTATGTGCACTAGAGGAGCCTTATGTATTGTAACCCTGTTCTCCATTTAAGCACAGAACTGCTGCTTGAAATGAGGATATTTAGCTGACAGCTTTATAAATCTGATTTTATTTTCCTTCCTAAGGTGATAAAATTGATAGACAAGATGCCTTCAGGGTTTCTAATCAGCCTCACTGCACTCAAGTGGCACTTTAATTCTGCCCTAGTTTTTAAAGCCTGTATGAATCATAGAATTTTAGGGGTTGGAATGGACTCTAGAGATCACCCAGCCCCAGCCCCTGCCCTGGGCAGGGACACCTCCCAGCAGAGCAGGTTGCTCAAGGCTCAGCCACCCGGGCTGGGAACCAGGGTTGGGGCAGCCACAGCCTCCCTGGGCAACCTGGGACAGTGTCTCACCACCCTCACAGGAAAAACTTCTTCCCAATATCTAACCTACATTTCCCTCTTTAAATTTGTGCCCATTGCCCCTTGTCCTGTCCCTGCAGCTCCTAACACAGATCCCTCTGCAGCTTCCCTGGAGCCCCTTCAGCTCCTGGAAGGTGCTCTGAGGTCTCCACACAACCTTCTCTTCTTCAGGCTCAACAGCCCCAACTCCCTCAGCCTGTCCTCACAGGGGAGATGCTCCAGTGCTCTGAGCAGCTCCATGGCCTGCTCTGGACTTGCTCCCAAACAAGCACTGCTGCTGAGAGATTTGTGGTGATATTGCTAGCTTTGTGTCACTGAAGGAACCACATCTCATGCATCCTGTGACCTACTTCTGTTTACTTTTGCACCTCCATGCAGTGATGTGACTTTCAGTCCTAAGAGACATTGGAAGGTGTTATGTTATGAGACCCTGAGGAATCTGTTCTAGTGGAAGGTGTCCCTGCCCTTGGCAGAGGGGTTGGAATGAGATCACCTTTAAGACCTTTTCAAACCCATTCTGTCATTCTCTGTTGGATTTGGTGCTAACATTACTTCCATTTTCCAGGTTGTGAGGACAGCCAGTAGACCCCTGGCAGCTGGAGATATCTCCACTTTCCAGTCCTTGGTTTTCCTTGGGGGACAGCTGAGCTTGGCTCTCTGTGTGCTTCTATGTCTGAATTACTACAGGTGATGTATGAGTTATCTTTTGGTCCTTAAAATTGGATTCTGGGTCCAGAGATAAGCACAGTTTGAGCAGAAAAGGTGTTGGGAGCAGAGGGAGCAGATTACCAGTCATGGGATTGTATTTGAAAGTGAAAGAACTAGTTCAGTGCCATGTTCAGTTTCTGCAATGCTGCTCTGCTTCTGGAGTCTGGCTAACAATAATCCTCTTGGTACCTTTTGCAGCATCATTCTGGGAGCAGCATCACTGTCCCTTGTGGTCACCTACCCTCTGATGAAGAGAATAACATACTGGCCACAGCTAGTTCTGGGTGAGCTAGAAATAGATTTACTGTTTTTTTTCAGATGTAGTTTTTGGGGTGTTTTGCAAATTAGTATATGAGTGTTAACAATTTGATTTTTTTATAACTTTATATCAAAGTAAAAACATTCTGTTGTGCTAGAAGCTTCTTTACTTATAGCATGCCTAAGGATTGATGTGTGGGTTTGGTTTGGTCTGGGTATAAACCAGTTCCTTGTTTTGATGGAGGAAGAAAGGCAGGGAGAAAATAAATATTTGTCATTTGAGAATGAGCTTCAGTTTTGGGGTGGTCTCAAAACCATTCTTAAATACAGATTTGTGCTGCATTCCAGTCTTCAGCCTCTATCCTGTACCAATACTGATGGTGCTGGTACTGATGAGCTACTACAACATGTCTGTATTTTAGCCCTAACACTCCAGCTGTCCTCAGGGTTTTAGACCAAAATTGTCATTTCCAACCCTGAAGTCCTGCTGTGTGCTCCTCTGAAGCCACTTATACTGACACCTTTTGCTCCACTGACATCTAAGCATTTTAACTTCAGACCTGTTGTTTGAGTATCCTGGAATAGTTCTGTGCAAATGTTCCCCCACATTAATGAGTCAAGTTTAATTTAGGGCAAAACGTTTGGCATATGTATTTCTCCTTCTATGTCCAGAGGATTGAATGGGAGATTTGTCACCTGCCTGAAAAGAAGTGGTAGGAGATTAGATGCCAGAACTATGCACAAAGCTGCTGATATGATATACCCTTGAACAAACAGTATTTAATGCTGTACCTGTCACTTAGACTGCTCCTGGCATTCTTGCAACATTTTTCTGTGTTTTTTTTTAAAACTATTCCTGTATTTTTAGGTCTCACATTTAATTGGGGAGCCCTTCTTGGCTGGTCTGCCATCAGAGGCTCATGTGAGTGGTCTGTGTGCGCACCCCTGTACCTGGCTGGAGTCATGTGGACCTTGGTGTACGACACCATTTATGCACATCAGGTGGAGTACCAGTGAGAGATTTCAGATATCTGTGTTTGAACACACAACCTAGTTTGTGTGTTTAATTTACACCTCAGCTGTCAAACAGCAGAACGAACTCCTTGCAGCTCTTCACCCTCAGCTGAGCAAAAACAGCACCAAAAAAAGTCTCAGCTCTTGGATGTTTTATTGCTGTTTGCAAATGTTTTACCTATCAGGCAAAAAGGTGGAAGGAAAATGTACTTTGTGTACTTATGTAAATAACTTTGAGGTTGGTAACAGCTCTTGTCTGCTAAAGCAGCTCTAAAGAACCATAGAATCTTAGGGGTTGGAGTGGACCTTAGAGATGACCCAGTCCCAGCCCCCTGCCCTGGGCAGGGACACCTCCCACCAGAGCAGGTTGCTCAAGGCTCAGCCAACCTGACTGTGAACACTGCCAGGGTTGGGGCAGCCACAGCCTCCCTGGGCACCCTGGGACAGGGTCTCACCACCCTCAAAGACCAACCCTCTAATTTAAATATTAGTGGAGGGACATACAAATGCACTTAAATTGGGTTCCTAGTCAGAAGTACTGGACATTTAAGCATGGACTCTGTTTCTGTTTTCCATGTGAAGTGGTGTTGGATTGTGGATTCATTGCTGATTCCTCCTTTCATTGCAGGATAAGAAGGACGACATCATGATTGGTGTGAAGTCAACTGCATTGCACTTCAAGGAGGATACAAAGCAGTGGCTCAGTGGCTTCAGCTTGGCCATGCTCCTAAGCCTGTGTGTGACAGGGATGAACTGTAACCAGACCTTCCCATACTACTCAGCTGTGGCTGCTGTTGGGGCTCACCTAGCACACCAGGTTTGATGGATTGATTGATGCTTTTGCCAAGTAGGAAGTGAGGGAGGGGAGTAAGGGAAGTTACTGAGAGC